GGGGCCTCCCCAGCAGATAATGGGAAGGAGTGGTTGATAGGATGGGTTCTAAATTGGACCGCAGAAATGCAGAGGAGTTTCCAAAGGACACTAGCTGGCTGGAAATAGAGAGGATGAGTGTGTCGCTGTCTTTGATGCCATAGCACCCCAGATCCAGCCAGTCCTGCAGGACTTGGCACTGGAACTCCAGCTGCTGTAGCCTCTTAGGCAGTCCCTGCTTGTCTTTGATCTGCTGTTTCAGACCAGGATGAAGCTGCTGGGGTCGATGGCATAGGCGTCGTTCCCGCCATCAGGATTCTGCATGAAGACCTGGATCTTGGGGAAGACAGTTTCCAGCAGACAGACGTGGATGTCAGAGAAGATCCTGTAACTGGCCGGGGAGCAGCGACTGTTGAGCTGCTGCCTCTTGCCACTGGGCGCCTGGAAGGACAGATGCTGCTGTCCTGAGTAGCCCCAACTTTTCCGGATTTTCTTTCACCTTCTTTATGGAGTCATAAGGATTCACCCTGAGGGTCAAATCTGGGTGGCCCCACTGCTCCACGGTCACCACAATGTCGACACGTCTCTGTCTGAGGTGAAAAAAGTCCCTTCGCTCCACATCTTTCAACATGAGCAGCAGCAGTGGTGGCAAATGTCTAGGTCGTGTCAGCCACTTTCCGGGCTCCATGCTGGGCACCTTCCATATTCTTAATGCATTTTATTCTCACAGCAGCTCTAAGAGATTGGTTCTACTACGATCCCCATTTTACAGATGAGGAAGCTGTGATTGAGCAGGGTTAAATAATTTATGAACATCAGTCACAAAGGCAGGGAGCAGAGCAGGTATGTAAAGTGAGATCAATGAGACTCCAAAGTCTGTGTCATCATGGCTCTGGAGGTAACACTCCTGGGTACCTGGGAGTGGCCAGACAGGGCGGGGCCTCTAGCCGATCCTTTCAAGAAGGAATACAAGTAGAAGCCCAGCATTGCTACGTCTGACTAGTCAAGATAAAAACCTTTGCACAACAGTTTTTATAGTCAGGAAAAATCCAGATGTATATACTCTTCAGCTTACCTGTGGGTCCTCCCATTTGGCTGGTGGGTCCCCTGTTTGTAATCTGTACTTTGATAGAGCCTCTGATTCTTTCTTCCTTCTGCTCCAAGTAGGTCAGGCTCCTGTTCCTGTACACACCTTGCTTATTATCATCACCTCCCATCCTTTCCCCCTCTGTCCCTGGCCTCGACCTGGTTTGTCCTCCTGTTCTGAGCATTTATATCCCTCCTGGACTTTAGGATTCACCTCAACCCCTAGCTCCTTTAAGGAATCTTCTCTGGTAACTTCAGATAAAATATATTCTCTCTGTTTAAATTACATTAAAAAATTTTTTTAGACATGGAGTCTCACTCTGTCACTCAGGCTGTAATGTAAGTGGCATGATTAAATGCCTGGGCTCAAGTCAACCTCCTGTGTCAGCCTCCTGAGTATTTGGGTCTACAGATGTGCACCACCATGCCCAGCTAACATTTGTTCTCTGTTTCTGGAGCCCTCAAATACCAGGATATAAATCCCAGTTCTTTTGCCTCTTAGCAATATGACCTTAATTACCTTAACCTCTCTGAGCTTCTTCTGTAAAATGGCAACGATGGTAATAATAATAATAAAGACAATGATAGTACTCAACTTTCCTACTCGACAGAATTGCCCGTGAGAATCAACTAAGACAGCTCCTGGACAAGCACTTTTCAAATAATGTAGTGTGATGTGAATAAGATAGATATGAGCTTTACCTACACCAGAGGTTTGGCATCATATAATAATATTACTTAGCATTTTGTATCTTCTGTGTATCCTGTCTTCTCTGGTTAATTCCTTCTAGCAGTTTTGTGCAAGTTTATTTCATGGACTTGCTTCCTAACAAAACAGGATGAGTTCCTTGAGGGTAGGAGCCATGTCCTATTTCTGCTCCTATGTTGCCCCCTGGCCCCCACCCCCACCAGCCCCAAGCTCAGCACTGGAACAAGACAGCTGATGGAGTTGATTTGACTGGGCTCAGCTCACGCAAAGAATGATCTAGGCAGGGAACTGAGTCTCCAGTAGGTTATGGGGAAAAGAAAGAAAAGGAGAACAAGAACTTAAAGATAAGAAAACTGAGGCTCAGAGAGCCAAATAATTTTCTGAAGTTAACAGAGCTGGTAGGCGGTGCAGCTGGGCCTCAGACTGACTCTAGAGTTCTATTCTCCATCAGCACAGATGTGAATAAGTAGATATTTATGTGTCAGAAACCAAGAGGTTAATTTGATCAGATTTGCCTGCCCAGCTTGATTTTGGTTGCTTGCTTTTTGTTATTTTATTTTATTTTCCCATGAAGCTGAAGGCCATTGTAGCTGAAGGCATACAGAAATTGCGAGACAGTTTGGCTCTGCAAGTTGGCCTGGCATGGGATGTCCCTGGGCAGGTCGGTGGTGCAGCCAGGGAGGGAGCCCGGAGCTCTTTGGGCTGTTAGCCAAAGGCCATCCTGTGCGAGGGAGGGGCAGGTGGCAGCAGCAGCAGCAGCAGCATTGCGTGGACCCTGCGTGGCTGACTGAAGAGCAGTCTATCAGTGGTGGGAGCAGCAGCCACCTGTGGAAAAGGAAAGCCTCCTATGGACACTCACCTTCATGGAGACTCCCATAGTCCAAACATTCCTGTCTCCATCTTGCCGGAAGGCCCCCTGAAAACACATTCTTTTTTTTTAAGTCGGAGTCTTACTCTGTCACCCAGACTGGAGTGCACTGGCCACTCCCGGCCACCGCAGCCTCAACCTGTTGGGCTCCAGTGATCCTTCCAAGTAGCTGGAATTACAGGCATGCGCTAAAACACCCGGCTGATTCTTTGATTTATTGTAGAGATGAGGTCTCGCAGCCCAGGCAGGTCTTGAACCCGGGGCCTCAGGCAATCCACTCACCTCAGCCTCCCAAAGGCACGGGATTACAGGCTGAGCCACCCAGCCTGGCTTGAAAACACATTCTAACTAATTTTAAAAGAATGGAAAGCCTGCATAGAATGCCCTCAGACCACTGTGTTTTGAAACCATAAAACCAACAAGAGTAAGATGGCCAGAAAATCCTCCAATATTCGTAAATTAAGCCACACAGAACCTGCTTGGGTGGCATTCATAGGGTACTCTCTGGTCTTGCAAAAATCATTTTTCTTTCATGGGAAGATCCCCAAAGTTCCTTCCTTCCCAACAGAGATCCAGAATCTGGTTCTATACGCTAAAGTCGCAACTTTGCTCCTCAGCAAGTGAACTAATTCAGGATACATACCATCAACCCCTGCACAGGTTGACATCTGCAATTAGGTAAAAGAAAACAGTGTAAGTAAATCATGCTGTGGAACACACAGAGGTCTACTATTTCTAGATGACTAGAAAACTATTGGTTGAGTCAAAAGTGAAACTCCCCCAGAACAAGAAGGACATTTAGAGAAAAGACAAAATATTTCTGCAGATTTTCCCTTTAAAGTGGTTTGGATGGAAAATTACATAATTCCTAATTCACAGAGAAATGTATATGCTGAACGAAATGCCGAAACGAAATGCCGTTACATTAGGGTGTTAATGGATGCTGTCATTTAAAAATGTTGCAGTGTGTCGGGTAGGAGCTAGTAAGAGAAGGCCACTCAGCAGCACCCCACTAAGAGAAGTATACGTGTCAAAAATAATGTACATAATTGTATTTTTATATCTAAATTTCACTGAAAAGAAAATAACAAGGAAAGCAATATTTCTCCTTATGACAAAGAAAGGTGTTCCTACTTCTTATTCTGGAGATACCTCTACTTCATCCTCAGAAGAATCCAGGAAGAAACAGAGAAATGGTCTGTACCCTGATACTTGGGGATTAGAAACAACAAGGATGCTTTGCTTGATACGGAATATGCAGGTGGTTGATTAAAAAACATGGACTTAACCAATACTAGGGCATCATCCTGAGCAGATGATAGATGGCGAAGGAGAGGAGAATGCTATAAAAAAGGGAGACAGTTCTCTACTTAGTGGCTAAAGTCCACCTAATGTACCAAGAAGTAGTCAGTCTGCAAAAGGTCTTCAACTATACAATGTGATTCACCAACGGTTTTCTTGTGCCTTCTGTCTGGCTTAAGGTCCAGCTAAATTTGCCTCTTCACATCCTTAAGGATCATGCTGCGACTGCACTTCTCTGTTTTAAGAGATTTATACTTGCTTTAAGCAATATTTCATTTCCACTGGGCTGGTGGCTGTACAGGACACACTAGCCAGTCGGCAGTTAGATTGTTCATCATGGGGAGAGACTGGGAGCGATTGCTGATGGACCTTAGTCCAGACATTTCAGCAAGTTGCCAAAGAGGATGGAAACTAGGCAGTGAATCAAGTGTTGCAACGGGTGATTATGTATCATTCTCCTTGCCATTATAAGCTGGCAGGATTTGAACACTGTGGGGCTTATTATAAAACACACTAAAATACATCACCAATTCATACTTGCTGGCCAGCTGCTGAGGAAAACTACTTCCTAATGGAGAGAAGTCAGGCATATTATCCTATGTGGTCCCCCACACTTCTTAAAATCTGTAAACTGACCTGAAAGATTTGGGGGTTTGTGTTTTTCACAATAATGTCCATGCTGGGCTATGGGAAAGCTGACCTCTTACTATGCTGGAAGTGACCACTGTTGCCACTTTGAAAAAATAGGCAGTGTCTGAGAAACCTTAGGCTTAGTCCTTAAGACTTCTGTGAGTATGCTAAACTCCCATCGTGGTGACTACTATCCCAAGATGAAGGATAAGTGCTTGTCAGTAGCTGAGAGCATGAGCATTGTACAACGCACCTCGGGTCATGCTTTCCTGTTCATTTGGAAACTTGAGAGATCAGGGCACTCACATTGGAACCTCAGAGTGCCCCATTAAGCAGAAGGGATAAATAATCAACCAAACCCAAACTGTGGCTCTGATGAGAGTTGAAGGAGGTAAAGTATATTAAGTCAGCCATGGTGATGATTCAATTTCTTAGCTGTTGCCACTGGCAAGTGTGCTGTGTAAATGGGAATACTTCGCTGAGATAATAAGCAGCCTCATAGGTACAGAAAGACATGTACTGACATGACGTGATGCAGAGTCACACAGGATTCCCCCAATCCTCAAGCCCACAAGACAGTGTCACCCTAGGAAGCACAAATGCTTTCATGAGATGCAGAAACTGGGCCAAATTTGATTCCTAAGAATTCATTCTCTCTTTCAAAACCAACTTCAATTGCTTATTCCCATCAGAAACCTAGGATCAGGGTGGCTCTCCAAATTGAAGCAAGGACGCCATACCTTTCCTAGCATTCCAATTTTTCATTCTCAACAGGAGATTATACAATACTTACCGGAGAGTTGTTGAGAACACATCTGCAATACAGAAACAAAACATTATGGTGATTACATCGTGTTGTGGATCGTTTGCACACGGATGCCTGTGAACAAATCAAAGGCATCCAAACAATGGTAGCATACAGCACTGGAAAGACAAGAGCATTTCCTTAAGAATGAATTGCCTTGGTCCATTTAGCTACAAAATGCATATTCCAAGAAGACATGGCTTCCAAGGAATAGGGCCCTAGGTAAAGTTGATAACCTCATGCTGCCACATGTGAAAGTTCTTTTGTATCAGGTATCAAATCCTGAGTCGCTTCTTCCACTGTTTCACAAGAGAGTATTTCACATTTATAATGCACACAGAGGTTTTCTCCTATGTGAAGTCAATTGTAAAAGAGAAACAAAGAAAGCAACATTTGTGTTTCAGGCAAAGAAAGGCAGGCTTCACCTCACCTGATGTAGTATCCTTGTATTTTCTGCATATAGGTCGTTCTTGGGAGAGCCTAGAAGAACACAGAGTATCCGTCAATCATTGAGGCTGTTGTTGATGATAGACACAGAAAGCTCTGCTTAATATAGCATTCGGATAGGGTGTATTGATGGTTTTTGGGGGGAAAATATAGCTCCAGACATAAGAGAAAGGGCGAGCTGGTGATCATCATTGACGGCAGGATGCAATGTATTCCATGATTGACCTCATTATCAGCCATAGATCAAGCGTGAACAACTTCCAAAAGAGGAAATGATACCAGGCATTCTCTCTGACCACAGCAGACTAACAATAAATACGATCACTAACAGCAACCCTCCTAAATACACAAACACACAGACATTAAGCAACATGCTGGTGAATGACTTTGGGTTTAACACAAAAATCAAGGCAGAAATAAACATAATCCAGGAAAAAAATGAAAACAAAGACACAACATATTGAAATCTCTAGAATATCATGAAAGCACTGCTGACAAAGAAAAATGTAACATTACACACACATATCAAGAAAATAGAGGAATCTCAAGTAAACAGCCAACATCACATCTAAGAAGGGTGGAAAGGTGAGAACAATTGATTTCTACATTTGGTGGGAAAATTGAAATTACTGAAATGAAGGCACAATTGAATAAAACAGAATAAAAAAAAACCAGAGACTTCACAAGGCATAAAGGTGGCTCCTTGAAAGGATAAATAAGGTTGACTGACCCTATGGACAGACAGACCAAAAATCAATCAATCAATGAATAAATAAAAAAGGGGGAAAAAAAAAAGAAAGGAAAAGAAAATGGTGATGTCACAAGTGACGCTGAAAAAATGCTAAAGTTTTTCAGAGATAATTACCATCATCTTATGTAAACACACGAGAAAATCTAGGAGAAATGGAGGAATTTCTGGCATCGCATAACCACCTGAGGTTGAAACAGGAAGAAATTGAACCTCTACAAAGACCAATAAAAACCCAACAAGGCAACTCAGTTCTAAAAGACCTGCCCACCAACAAAAGTCCTTAGCCGGATGGTTTCTCAGCTAGTTTCAGTCAGTCATAAAAGGAAGAGCTGATACCAATCCCGTTGAAAGTATTCCGGGCAATCAAGAAGGAAAAATTTATCCCTAGCTCATTCTATGAAGCTACTGTCAACCTGATACCTGGGCAACGAATTCATGGCTGAGTTCTCAGGAGCAAATGCAGCAAAATACTGAAATTGACAAGTGGGACCTTATCAAGCTCAAAAATATTTCCACAGCAAACGTGACCATCAAGAGAATAGACAAACAAGTCACAGAATGGGACGACATGTTGGCAAGTTGTGTATTCAACAAAGCACTAACCACCAGGATGTATGAGAAACTCAAAAAAATTGACAGGGGGGAAATAAACCATTATAAAATTTGGGAAAATGACATGTACAGACACTTGTCAAAAGAAGACATAAAGCAGGCAGCAAACATGAAAAAAGTGCTCAGCACCAATTATCATCAGAGGAAATGCAAATGAAGACTGCAATGAGGTACTATCTCACACTGCTCAGGATGGCTGTCATTAAAAAGTAACAAGCCGAGCTGAGTGGCTCAGCCTGTAATCCTGCGCCTTTGGGAGGCTGAGGTGAGTGGATTGCCTGACCCCGCGGGTTCGAGACCCGCCTGGGCAGCGAGACCTCATCTCTACAATAAATCAAAAAA